TCGAATACATCACAGGTAGCTTGCCAGACTTTGCCGTGTGGGCAAGATACTCTTGGTAGCTTGCCGGGCTCTCCAAGAGGGGCCGAAGAGTCAAGAGGGGTCAGCCGCGTTCAAGGCAAGCGCCCTGCCCGAAAGAATAATAATGATTAAAAAAACACACCTTAAGATGGCACTGTTGCCTGATAAGTGCTTGCAGGCTCTCGTACTGCTGGAACTGAAGATGGAATGAATGTGCGAGGCCCTCATGGAACTCTGGCTTCACAGTGTAGAGAAATAGGGAGCTCGTGGGCTTTCCCACCAATATTATCCTTGGCATAGTAAATGATCTTTGTCATAGGTTTTCAATCATTATTACAAGACTGAGTGGGTGGTAAATCTAGGGGCGGGCCCATTTCATGACAGTTCTATGCCTGAAGTGTCTCTTGCTGTTTAGTTGCAAGAGGGGGAGCTGTCATTACAGGGGGAGAAGATTGGCTATCACTTTGGTGATCAAAATGAAAGAGAATACCCTTAAGAGGATAAAACGTTACTCAATTAGGTACAGAAATAGATTTTTTAAAAGTTTGATGGCTTTCTGCCACGCATCGTAAAAAGTAATTCAGAGAGACTGAGATATAACTTGGACAAGCAATATAATAAAGTGTTCACAAGAAAATCTTTGGGTTTTTTTCTTTGTTTTGTTTCGGTTTTGGGGTAATACCTGACAATGCTCAGGGCTTAGTTTTGGCTCTGTTCTCAGAGATTACTCCTGGTAGAGCCTGTGGACTATATAGGTTGCTGGGGATCAAACTCAGTTCAGCAAATTGCAAGGCAAGTGCCCTATTCCCTGTACCATCTCTCTAGCCCTAAAGTAGAAAATTATTTTGAGTTTATAATGAAAGATTTCTTGGACATGACACAGAAAGTACTATTTATAAAATAACAATCTGATCAATTGAACCATGTGCAAATGAAGTACTTCTGTTTCACAAAATCCCAGAAATCAGACCCCGCCCAGCCCCAGTTCAGGACATTGAGGTGAACCCATGGGAGCACTTGGAATTGGGGACCAGCTTGGTACTCAGGATCTCCATCTTGCCCCCCACTCTAAGTTAGGATTATCCCAGTCCACAAAGAGTACTAGCTGAGCAATTTTCACACTCCCTATCTCACCATGGGCATACAAAGACATCTTAACTATATCCACACTAACTTTCACAAAAAAAACAACTCCAACTGCAAGAATAACAATAGGAGAATAATGCAGAAGCCTACTGGACTGAGTGAGCTAAGATAGTAGCCTGAAAGACTCAACCAATAGTAGGAGCTAAATAACCTCTCTGGTAAGGAATTTAGAGAGGAAGTGTTGAGGATGTATAAGGAGCACAAAGAAACAAGGGAATGGATCACCAATAAAGCACAAGCAGAAATGAGGAAACTACAAACAAACAAAAATGACAGATCTGAAAAATCTGGTCTGTAAAATGAAAAACTCACTGGAAGGCCTCAGCATCAGAGGAACAGCTGCTGAGGACAGAATCAGTGAGCTCCAAGATGACGTATAGGTAACCTGCAAACAACTGCAGAAGACGGTGAAAAAGCCTCAAAATAAACCAACAGCTGCCAAGAGAACTTTGGGACGAATTCAAGAAGAACAACAAAAGAATCATCAGGATCCCAGAGAGGCAGTAAGGCAATCCTGGTGAAGAAGCAACAGTCAAAGCCATTGTTGCTGGGAAGCTCCCAGAGCAGAAGAGTGCATGCCCCCAGATCCAGGAGGCCCGCAGGGTACCAGCTAATAGAAATCCAAATAAAAATACTCCAAGACACATCCTAATCAGAATGACAAAAACCATAGATAAGAGATAGAATATTGAAGGCAGGAAGATCAAAGAAGGAAATTATATACAACAGAGCATCCTTAAGATTTATAGCCACCTTGTCAAACAAAACCCCCGGGCCTGAAGACAGAGATGGGATATAGTGAAAAAAAATCTCAATGAAATAAACACCTCACCAAGAAAATTTTACCCAGCCAGACTCATTCAGGTTTGAATAAACATCATGCAACTTCAAACAGACACAACTCAAGAGCTTCATAGACTCAAAACCATTTTTACAAGAACTCAAGGGGCTATTAAACAAGATGTGTCACACAGACACACCAAATTCCTGCAGAAAGATGGCACAAAATTCCATGACAATAATATTTCTTAATGTCAATGGACTAAATGCATCAATTAAGAGACATAGAGTGGCAGAATGGATTAGAAAATTGAACCCAATATCCTGCTGGATGCAAGAAACACCTTTAAATAGTCAGGGCAAACACAGACTCAAAGTTAAAGGTTGTAAGACAATTTTTCAAGTAAACAGCTCCCTCAAAAAGGCCAGGGTGGGCATAGTAGTATCAGATGACTTCAGGCTGAAAAAGAAGACACTGTGAAGTACATTTCTTAATAAGCAAGGGATTATATACATCAGGGAGAACTTACACTTCTAAATGTATATGCACCCAATGAGGGACCAGTAGAATACACGAAATAAGTGCTAATAGACTTGAAGAAAGACAATTAATAGCAACACACAATAGTAGTTGCAGACTTCAACTACTGCTCTGTCATCTCTTGATAGATCAACTAGACTAAAACTCAGTAAGAAAATAGTTGATTTGAAGGAAGAAACGGAAAATAGGGGTTTAGTGTGTGTGTGTGTGTGTGTGTGTGTGTGTGTGTGTGTGCATACACACACGCACACGGCTTTTCATCCTCAAAAACCCAAACACATTCCTCTTCAATGCACATGGAACATTCTCCAATATCGGCCACATGATGGTACACAAAGATACCTCCACATAGTTAAGAGCATAGAAATCATATCAACTATCATCTCATACCATGCTGTACTGAAAGTAGAAATGAATCACAAACAGAAATGGAGAAACAACTCAAACATCTGGAAATTAAATAGCTTGTTACTGAACAACCAGGGGGGTCAGAGAAGACATCACAGAGGAAATTAAGAAATTCGTGGAAACAAATAAGAATGAGGATACTACCTAGCAGAACCTGTGAGATTCAGCGAAGGCAGCATTAAAAGGAAAGTTTATAGCTATGCAAGCATTCATCAGGAAGGAAGAAGGGGCTTACATAAATAACTTGACTGTATAACTTAAAAAATGGAAAATGACCAATAAAAGGAGCCCAAAGCAGGCAAGAGGAAGGAAATAATAATAAAAATCAGAAATTAATGAACTAGAATCCAAAAAATAATCCAAAAGATCAATGAAATGAAGAGCTGGTTCTTTGAAATATTAAATGAGATTGATAAACCACTTGCAAGACTCAATAGAAAGAGAGAGAAAAATCCCATGAAACACTTATTCAAAATAATCAAAACAGCAGACAAGCAAAGAAGCCCTCCTATGGAGCAAACAGCTAGACAATCCAATAGGAAATCAGCAGGACCAATTGTTTCAGCAAATGAAGAGTTGCTGAGGAAAATGAAAATGAAAGCCACAAGGTCTAAGAGAAAAAAGATAAAAAATACTAAGTGTTGACAAGGACGAGGGAGCTAGAAGACTCTTCTCATTTCTAGAGAAACTGTTGGTCTCATTGCTATTTGACTATATCCATTAAAGCTGAACATGCACATTCTCTGACTTGGAAGTCCCAGCTCACGTACTGTTCTGTAGGAGTGGAATTGTGTCCCTCCAGATTTCATGCATGAGAGTCTCAGCTCCTCTGTAGCTCACAGTGTGGCTGTGATTGGAGAGAGATTAGGTGAGACTCAGGCCATGAAGATGGGTCCTAGCCCAATATTCCTCCTTATCCTAGGGGATCGAGGAAGGCCAGAGTGAGGGAACAGCATGTTCATACCCGATGGGGGACACAACCACCCACGCACTGAGGGCAGACTCAGGAATCAAGGTTGCTTCCTCTTCTGTTTCTCAGACAGTGAGATAAGAAACGGCTGTTGTTCACAGCAGCCAGTCCAGCTGACTCACACGGGTATACGCTCCACACAATTGCGCCTGGACTATTGACACAAAGTGTGTACGAGGAACCTCCAAAGCATCAGTGTCTGTTAAGCCGCAACACCTCTCTGTAGAATGTAGTAGGTGGTAATTTCTCTGTACCAGCACCCACCAGCAGAGAGAATGAACTTCGTGCACCGACTGCCGGCCCCGGCTCTCCAACCCAACGAGCAGGGAGAGAAGCAGCCATACACGGCTGAAGCTAGGACAGGGTTGCCCCAAGGTCGGGGAGCTTTCTGGGTACTAGCGATGGCCTTGTTCTTGATCTGGAGGCTTTGGGAACACCCTTAGCTTACACGTATGTGCGAGAGGCACATTTCCCTCCGTGTCTGCTGCTCTCCGACGCAAGTCTGAAAAAGTCCAAGAGCACCAGGTTCAGAGTTTGTGTTCCTTGCCAATAGTCCAGAAGAAGATAAGAGAGCTGACCAGCAAGAACTCTTGTGGCACCGGGGGTGTTCTGGCAGGGGCTGGTCGGCCGGCCTGGCAGGAGCAAAGCTGCAGGGGCAGGCGTGCTGCGGCCATGACCCAGAGTGGACTAGTGAGCACCGCGTGCCTGTGTGGCGGCCAACAGCCTTGGTCTGTGTTTCTTTCCACTCTGCTTGAGTGGCAGCTACTTGCCCACCTGCTGCTGGGCCTGATCGAGGGCCACAGGACGGGTCCTCGTTGGTTCTGAGGAGTGTGGTCCAGATAGAGCTGAGCCTGTATTTCCAACTGCAGTGAGTCCATTTAGGTGGTGCAGGACATCACAGAGCCAGGGGTAAACACAGGCACACGCGCACACACACACACACACACACACATTCACGCAGTCTTAATCACAGAAGTGCTGCTTTCATGCACACTTGAGTGGCCGAGAGTTCCCAGCTGGCCACTTGGGAAGTCCGAGGCGCCAAAGGCAGTGCAGGGCCTCTGCGCCCGCTGTCCCACGGGCGGTTGGGAAAGGCATGACATGTTAGCACAGGACGAGCTCCTGGCCTGCACTCACCAGCCTCTGCTTGTGGCCAGATCTGGGCACTGAATGGAGATGATGTCACTAGAGCTTCACGTTATTTCATCCAATTAACCAGGAGTTAATTAGTATGTCCAGAGCGCTTTGAAGCCGAGGAGCCGTGTTTAGTCACGCTTGGGGTGCAAGGAAGATCAGGCTGCAGCACTGTCCTCGCAGTGAAAGTGTCTGTGCCCGTGTGCTAGGGTGGCCCCAGCAGCCTGGGACAGCAGAGAGAGCTTCCTGCTAATTCTGGCTGAACTGTCGCCTAGGCCACGCACCCTGGAGGCTCTGGGCAGGGACCCTTTTCGGCGTTGCATTTTCCCCAGGGCCTCATCTTACCTTGATCACAAAGCCCCCTCCCCTTTGAAATCAGGACAACCCCCAACAGCTCAAAACATTGCTTCCTTCTTTCCCTTTGCCCCACCCGCATAGGAACCTGGGCGTGGCTGAGAGTGTCCTAGAAGACTCTTGGAGGAGGTGGCAGCTGTCACGCTCTTCCAGGACTCACCTTGGTCTCTAGACAAAACCGGTGCCTCCTTTAAGTCTGACTGTCCCCCAATTTGGGCAATAAGGGGGCACCCTACACGGCTGCACCAGGCTCCTAATTCTAGGGGGAGGGTTGTCAGAGTCTGGTCCCAGAGGGCTGTTGGGCAAGACAGTCCTAAGCCCACCTGAATCTCCACGGTGGCTCCTGGGCGGCCACAGCAGAAGGAGGCCACCTCTGGCTAATCCTGGTGCAGCTCCTGCCTTCACACGGGGTGCAAAGAGGCAGGGGCCAGGGGTCAAGGAGGAACACGCATGCAGGAGACGCACAGGCGGCGAGGGTACTCCTGGGAGTGTGGGTCTTAGCTTGGGGAAACTGCAAGCATCAAGGAAGACGGCAGCAGGCCCCTTGTAGCCCCAGTGGTCTAGCTGGAGCTGACTTTGGAGAAGTAGCTGTCAGAGTCACGGTAAGAAGACTTGGGTCCTGGGAACGTGGGGGCACAGGCTGTAGGGCCTTGGAACCCTGGGTTGATTTTCTGGATGGTGTTGGTCCAAATCTGAGTCCCTCCCTCCTGGGATGTAAAACGCCCCACCCCCAGGGGCACCTCTTCACCTGGGTCATGACATTCTCAGGCTGTTCCCGGAACTCCCAAGCTCCGAGGCTGGCAGCGCCAGTGTCCAGGCAACCCAGCGAGGGGACAGTCACAGAGTGGCCGGGGGCGGGCAGTTGTTCCTTGAAGGCCTTGAACTTCTTCACCTGAGGTGGGCAGTCAGCCCCGGGCCGCACTCTTGGCCAGCCCAGCCCAGGCACCACGTCAGACTGAAGGGGAAGGGGCTTTAGGGACAGGCCTGTCCATGCACCTTCTAGGCTGTGGCACTCTCCTCTGCTACATCTGCCCTCAGCGACCAGGCTTTGGATACAAAGCCAGGCATGTGGAATTGTCCCTCTAACTACACCCCCAGGGGCGGGAGAGTCCTCGGGCAAGAATGGCTGCGGGCAGAGAACAGGGGCAGCCAGAAGGCTGGTGCAGAAACGACAGAGCAGTGCGGGGCCTTCGGCGTGTAGGGCACAGCATGCACCAACGCAGAGCAGGAAGCTCGGGGCGCCCGGGCCCTCGGCGCCCGCTGAAGGCCGTTGTGTTTGCTAACTCTTCTTAATGTCTCTGGCAATGGAAATAGCCGTGGCCATGTTCGGCACTCTGTGCTGACTGAACGAGCAGCCTGTGCGCTTGCTGGGGGCTGCCCAGGTGGCCCTAAAGCTCGGACAATCTCTGTGCATGTGTGTTTGTCTCCTCATGTGTCTGTTTGTCTTATTCTGTCCAATCCCTGCTGGGCAGGGGTCAAAGGTGCCAATCCAATTGCCTTTAGACACCCAGGAGGCATCTTGCTTTCCCACACACACCATGCCTGGCTGCATTCGTGGGGTGCAACTTTCACTCTGCTGACCACACCTCCACAGTCCTCCTAGACCTCCCTGCTCCTCAGCAGCAGCTGTGGCAGCTGAACAATGGTCCCCACTTCGTCACCCCTGCCACCCGTGGTAAAAAGGACTTTGTAGATGTGCTTGAATAAAAGATCCTGAGAAATCCTCCTGGATGGTCGGGGAGGGGGGGCTTAATACCCTCACAGCAATCTTTTAAGAGAAAGTGGGGGTGGGAGAGCACTCAAATGGGGTGCAGTGCAAGCCTTGCACATGCTGTGCCTAGTTTGAGTCTGGCGCCACCAGGTGGTTACCTCTGGGAACCACTGGGCCCAGTGAGCAAGCCTCAGGCCCACATGGGCGAGGGAAGTGTGGCGAGGAGCTGCTTCTGGACACGATGGACACACGCTGCAAGAAATAACTTAAAGAGAGCGTTGGAGAGGGCTTGTAAGGGCTTGTAGGAGAGGCCGGAGCACCAAAGCTTCCAGGCGGACCCTGGAATAAGCAGCGCTGTCAGCAATCGGACTTTGGTTTTGCCAAATGCTTTGCCCCCTCACCTGCAGAACGATGCGAAAAGCCATTTGCTGAAAAGTGTGTGGGGTGGACATCAACAGACTGGCCTGTTGAGTATTGTGGCCTTCCACAAGACGCCGAGTGTGCTGGCTGGCTGGGGAGGGGCCCTCCTGCCCACAGCCTGCTACTGGGACTGGAGCCCCATCATCATCGACATTCCCTTCCGTCCCCTCCTCCCCCAACTACTCAGCTAACCCAGATGCTCACACGTGACTGACACAGTCCCTGGAGGGCGGGATGGGGTTCATGACAGTGTGGTTAGGGAGCCCATCAGGGTAGAAGAGTCTGCACCGGGGCAAAGAAACAGCATGTCTCACGGCAGGACAAGGAATCTGCCTTGGGCACAAGTCTACCACTCACTGCATGTCATGGCCTCCTGTGGCGGCACCCTCCAGCTTAATCCAATTAAAGCCATGCTGAACTTTGCCACCTTTGTGATCCACGAAGACACTTGTCCCAACCACTCAAACAGTGGCCCCGCCAAGCACCAGGCCACATAAGAAAGCAGCGAGTGCCTGATTCGTGTGCACTGCCCGTCACTGCTGGAAGTGCTCCTTGCTCTTCAGTCACAGCTCACCTCACTACCACCCTTCTCAACTCTTGACTTTTTCCTCTCGACCCTCTGACACCAACTTCCCGGGGCTTCAGGAAGCAACAAGAGGCCAAGACACTTCCGATGCCACTTTCTTGCCTTCTAGGACCCCAAGACTCACTGTGACCCTTATAATGGAGTCAACTTCTCTTACGTGTGTCCAATTTTTGCCTTTTCTGGGTCCCTGGGTGGGCAGGAAGCACTGCTGACCACCTATTTCTCTAGCCTGAAACTCTGTGGTGTTACAGTTCCTCTCTCTGCCCTCAGGTCACTGCAGTAATGGTCATGTTTGCCCAGAAGCGTCTCTGGGTTGCCCTCCCTTCTGCATCCCCTGATCCTGGTCAGGCATGCCTCTTCCCTTACCCTGAACAGTAGAAGTAGCCCTACTGGCCCCTGCATCTCCTCCCCGCAACATGCCCTTCTCCAGGGACTGCTCAATGCCAGGCTCCTTGACCCCAGAAATAGCTCCCACAGGCAGCTGCAGTGGACGGTGACTCCCTGGGCCCGGAACCCCGAAGACCATTCCTTCCCGTGTGCCTGGCCATCTCTCCTACACGAAACCTCCTTCCTCTTCAGCTCTGGCCCTTGAGCGGTCACTTCCTAAAGAAACGCTGGCTTATTATCAGGAACCAGCGTTTGCGCCTTCCCATGTTTCAGGGCTGAGGTCTGGGAGGTGGAGCCCCATCACAGTTTCAGCCCCCACACTCCAGCTCTGTCAGCCTTCAAGACCCATCCTCCTCCTCTGTGAAGCTGATGGCTCCGACCGCATGCCCCTTTGTCTCTGGCTGATTTCACTCGGCATCATGTCAAAGCTCCCCCAGGTCAGAGGCTGTGCCAGAATTTTCTTTCCTTTGACGGCCAAGTAAGTAACACTGATTGGAGTGGGCCACACCTGACAGTGCTCTGGTTTACTCCTCGCTCTGTGCTCAAGGATCATTCCTGCTTGGCTTAGGGGATGCCATGTGGTGCTAGGGATTGAACCCAGGCTTGCATGCAAGTCAAGTGTCTTGCTCCCTGTGATATCGCTCCAGCCCTGGAGCACCTCTGGGTTTGGGGGGATTTTTTTGGTATTTAATTTTTTATAATTCTAGAATTAGAATTGATAACAAAGTTGCAATATTAAAATCAATGGACCTACAAAATCAATTGATGTGAACATTGTTATATCTGATTGCAGGGTCCTCGTCTAAGGTTTTATTAAGCCATTTGCTGCTCAGCCACATGCAAGGCCTCGAGGACCAGACACTTCAGGATCTATGGTCTGGGCCCAACAGTCCACACGGCACTGGCTGTGGGAAGTGGGCGGGGCTGCCAGGCTTCCGGAAGTACAGGGGTGGGGAGGGAGGCTACTATTCTTCACTCCGAAAAAAGCAGCAGAGTTCTCAGCCTGGGCACAGGATACCTGAGATTATTCGCAGATTGGTGCCTGTGCAGAGTATTCATGGCATGGCTGCTGGGTATACAGTCCGCTCGCCTCCTGTGGGCACAACAGAGTTGGCAGCTGTGGAGACGGTGATTCCATCAGGTTCCGCTGCTTGCCATGCATCTCCTGGGAGATTTAGTTGGGAATTGATGGAGCAGGGCCATTGTGGTGGCTGGGGCAGGGGGATGACTGCGGGGCTTCCGGGAGTATGGGGGGTTGGGACCCATCCCGCCTCCTGGAGCACCCATTAGTGGACACGGCTATCTCGAGTCATGCTGCTACAGGGAAGGGAGTGCAACTCTCCCAGATGTCCTTCAATGCTCTGGGGATCATCCTGACGTGGGTCTGCTAGATCATGTAGCAGTTCTAGTTGTACTTTTTTGTTCTTTTTGGGTCACACCCGGCCATGCACAGGGGCTTACTCCTGGCTCTGTACTCAGGAATTACTCCTGGCGGTGCTCAGGGGACCATATGGGATGCTGGGGATCGAACCCAAGTCGGCTGCTGCAAGACAAATGCCCTACCCACTGTACTATCGCTCCAGCCCCCTGGTCGTATTTTTAAATTTTACAGTTTTTTGGCCACACCCAGAGGTGCTCAGGGCTTACTCCTGGCTCTGAGTTCAGGGATCAGTCCTAGTGGGCTCAGGGGACCACGTGGTGTGCTAGGGATATTACCTGGGTCGACCATACTCAAGGCAAGCGCCCTACCCACTGTACTATGTTTCTGGTCCCAAAGGTAAATAACTTTGGCCTTCTGAGTTCAACAACCTAACAAGTGGACTCTGCTGCTATGTGAACACAGCCACAGACAATGTACAAATATTATTCCCCAATGCTGGGTAGCAGAGCCCAAGCTGTCGTGCACCCCCGCTCTTAAGGCAAGAAGTACTTGGGCTCTAACTTTCTTCTGTGGGATGGCCGAGGGCAAGGGCTATATTCTAGTCACTACTGCACCCCCCTGGGCACTTGAGTACCTTGTTAAGGTCTGAGTTGATGCCCCCACAGCCCTGCGGAGGACAAAGCCAGTGCTTTCCTTCCCTAGATCTGCTTGAAGTGGAACCTTGCAAGAGTTGCTGGGAGCCAGGATGCGGTACAGGGCAGACCGTGAGGTCTTCAGCCTTCCCCTCCTTCTCCACCCCTGCACTCTAGAAAGTTCTGTGGCCCCACTTGGGCTGGGTGGATGAGAGGCAGAAGCGACGGAGAAGGCTCCAGCAGCAGGTCATCCTCCATGACCACCAGTGAGTGTGGGAATACGGGATTCTGATGGCTCCCCAAACTCCTCTCCCTCTCCACTCTAACCATTTGTGATCAGAGCTAGGCTCTGTCCCCTCCTTGCCACGTGTCTCCTGCAGCAGACCGCCAAAATCTAGGTGACTAGCCTGGGGGCTCGGGAGCCTGTGGGGCACCCCAGCTTTGCCAGCAGCCTCAGTGCTCCTGGTCGGCAGTTTGTTCTGGGGGCTCCACCTGCTGGCCAGTGAGGGTATTACAGGCTTTCTCTCAACACCTTTCCAGTACTTGGTACCCACAGGAACTGAAAAAGGAATGAAGTCCAGGGGAAGCAGGTAACCCTAAACTTTGGAGGGTTTCCACGGGATCCAAAATGAGCTGGTAGCGATGCCAGTCAGCTAGGGCATTCCAGAGGAAGGCTGCAAAGCGGTTTTAGAGGAACTGGGGTTAGCAGGGTCTGCTCAGTCCATGTAGCCGAGGTCCAGAAGACTATTGTGCCCTCTGCCTGGCCTGCAGCTCTCTGAAACTGCCCCCTTCCCCGCTGCTCAGGGCCTCCTCCTGGGTCTGTGATCCAGGGTCACTCCTGGTGGTGCTCAGGAGACCCTAGATGGTGTCAGGGATTCAACCGGGGTCAGTTATGTGCAAGACAGACGCCCAATCCCATGTCCTGTCTCTCCAGCCTGGGGGGGTGTCCTGATTGTCTTGGGTAGAAGTGAGTGTGCGTGGTGCTTCCTGGTGGGGGTTCCCAGGGCTGGGGAATGCATCTCAACTCTGCTCCTGGAAGGGCCTCACGGCGCCCCTGTGCCAGTTTCAGGCAGGGTCCACGCTCAGAGCAGAGAAGTCGTGCGGCGTGGGTGCTCCTGGGCCCTCCCATCCTGCCTGGCCCAAGAGGAAAACAGAAGGCTGTGCCTCCAGCCAGAGTCTGAGAGGACCAGAGCTACTAGAAGGGCATGTCGGCAAGCACACCTAGATCACCATGACTGCTGGCAGCGCTGGGACCAGCTCCAACGCGAGAGGCAACAGGTCTGCCTCTGAACCCCATTGCGGATCCTAGGGGAGATTGTGAGGGGGCCTGTGGGAAACCGGCCTCATGGCTTCCGAGGCCCCGTCTGCACGAGTCCCTGGAGCTTCTGCTCCCATTTCCAGCAGATAAGGGACACTGGCTGGCTTCTTTATGACCACTGTCACAGTCCGGGAAAGGAGTCGACCCGCCTGGGGAGCATCTGCAAGTGCTGGTGAAAGCACTGGGGAGGGAGATGACCAGGAGGCGCTTGCCCTCAGGGCCAGCGTGACTGCAGGTGTCGGGGCTTTCTGCTGTACCCGCCAGGCAGTGCCACCCATCCGCCCTACCACCTACTTTCCTTCTTGGCTGACTGCAGGGTCCCGTTCCTTGAGCAGCTGATGCAGAAACCCCCAATGCGCCCACAGAGGGTCCCCCCCGCCCAGCTTTCTGGATTCTGCCCAAGGACACTAGGCCAGCGGAGATGGACAGACACACAGACCGGAAGGGTGAGAATACAAAGCTGCTGCTTTACGGGCTCCAGAGCCAAGTCCACAGGTCTGGCTGCTGCTGCGGCCCTGCACATGCACGGAGGGCCGCGGGCCTCGGGCGGGCCCTCACTCTGCCTTCTGCAGGTGCCGGAAGCTCTGCACAGTCCTTCTCACGGCTTCGTCCAGCGTGACCACGGGCCGGTAGCCCATGGCCTTCTTGGCTCGCTCGCAGCTGTAGTAGTGGAATGTGCCGGCCAGCGCCACCCGCATGGGCGTAAAGGTGGGCCGCAGCTGGACGACGGGACTGATGAGGAGCACCAGCAGCGACAGCAGGAGGGCCAGGTAGTAAGCCATCCAGTAGGGAATGTGGTACTTGGGGGCGTCGTAGTTGAGGCCCGTCAGGATGCGGGACAGGAAGGCCCAGAAAGGGATGGGTTCGTCGTTGGTGATGTGATACGCCTGTTGGGGAGAAGATCAGCTTAGGCTGCACCAGCTCCAGTGCTTGGCAGGCCACTGTGGAACTCAGCTCAGCTAGGAAGAAAACTGGGCCACCGGCGGCCGCTCCCTATGCCCCGTCCCCGCTCTGCAGCATTTCACGGGCCCGTCCTTGAAGCTGCAGGCAAGCAGCTGGAGGCCGGATGAAGTGAGGGCCGGGGAAGGGTCGGAGTTTCACGCTAACAGTCGTCAAACATCTCACCCTCAGGCGGAACGCATGGGTCTGGCCACATCGCTCAAACGTGCTGTTGGTGCAGAACCAAAAGCCAGACTCGGCCCAGCCTGGCACTATGTGGGGAGGATGGCAGGGAGTCAGCCCCCACCAGGTGAATCCTGAGGTGCGGGTGTGGAACAGACGGCCGGGGGAGGGGCCGGGGCAATAAGCCAGTGCAGAGGGTGTTTGCCTTGCACGCAGTCAACCCGGGTTCGACCCCCAGGATCCCACAGGTCCCCTGAGCACTGCTGGGTGTGGCCCCCAAAGAAACCAAATGAAAGCAAACCAAAGACAGCTGGGAGAGAGCAAGAGCGGAGCTCAAGGCACAGCGCTCCCCCAGCTGGGTGACCGATGGAGCACGGAGACCTGGGCTATGGGGGGTGGAATGAGGAACCCACCAGAAGCAGCCATGGCTGCAGTGAGCAGCCGGACCACAGTCTGGACAACAGGGTCTGGGGAGACCCTGAAGCATTTCAGGGCAATGTGGGAAGACGGGGAGACTCACCTTGCCACCCAGGGTCACATCTTGGGAGAGGCGCTCGGCAGCCAGGATGTGCCCGTGAACCACGTTCTCCACGAAGGTGAAGTCCACCAAGTTCTGGCCGTTCCTGCAGGCACAGCACAGAGGGGGCTACTCCCAACATCCAGCATACGGACAACGGCAAGGCGAGTGGGAGGGATGTGGGGGGCCTGCTCTGGTCCCCAGGGGAGGAATGGCAGGAGCTCGTTGGCATGGGCATAACTGGGGTACATGCGTGCTGCGGGGGACGGCTGAGTGATACGAGAGGGAGGACAGGGCCACAGGCCTGGGGACTGACCCGATGACAAACTTCATCTTGCCCTTCTTGGCCGCCTCGACAAGGATGGGCACCAACTGTGGGTCCCGGGGGCCGAAGATGCCATGAGGGCGGATGGCCACGGTCAGGAAATTCTTCTTGGGATCATTGGCACCCAGGACAACCTGTGTGGGACAGAAGAAGCTGGGTTTAGAAGGGGTGAAGGCCCACGGGGGCGGGCGACATGGCCCTCCGCACTCCCGTAGAGCCAGGCTGCTCCCCCATTTCCCCAGAGACAGAGGAGATGCCTGGAGAAGCCCCCAAACTTTAGGCTTGGCTCTAAAGTTTAGGGGCTCCCCGAGCTGGCGTGAGGCGTGTGGCAGCTCTGGTCTGTGCGTGGCTTCAGCAGTCCCCAGAAATGTTTCACCACACGGTATTCACAGAGCCCCCGAGCCTCTAGGAAGGACACACGGGCATGGGTGATGCCCGAGCAGAGCCTGTGAGGGGATCTGTGTGCTCTGGGCTGCCAGCCAGTACTCCGGGTCCGGGAGCAAGGTTGGGCCACCTCCAGTGCTGCTCAGAGCTTACCCAGGACTCTACGCTTCCGGATTACTCCCGCCTGTGCTGGGGGGGGGAGGGGGCACATCGTGAGGGGCTGGGGATGCACGTCGAGCTAGTCTCTAACCCTCAGTCTATGCCTGCCTCCCCGGTCCTCTACAGAGAGACAGGAGGAACGGGGGCCCCAGCTGCACGCTGGGGTCTGCTCAACCCTGAGGGGCTGCAACTGTCCTCAACCATCCTGAAGATCACAAGCCCTGGCTGGGGTCCTTCCGACATGCTGTCCGGGCGAGAGTCTGCCAGTTGGCTCATGTGCTATTATTTTAAAAACCGTTTCATTTTTGTTTTGTTTTGGGGGCCACACTTGGCAGTGCTCAGGGATCACTCCTGGTGGGCCTTGGGGGAGCAGACAGTACGCTGTGGATCGAACCTAGGTCGGCTATGTGCAAGGCAAGCACCTTACCCACTGTCTTGTCGCTCTGGCCCCTGTGACAACTATTTCACCTGCACATTTTACTTCCCAACTTAGGCCCTCAGGCTTCGGAGGTGGATGGCGGCGTGCCCTCATCACTCACGACGCCCAGCGGGACCTACCTGCTCCTGCAGGATCTTTGTCTCCGTGTAGTAGTCGATGGGTTTCGTGGCGTAAGGAAGGTCCTCAGTGCCATTCTTGATATCCACGCCCTCGAAGGTGACACTGGCACTGCTGGTCAGTATGAGTTTCTGGCGGGAGGAGGGGAAGGGAAGATGGCAGACTTCTGAGCAATGCTCAGTAAGGCCTGGAGGGTTGTCTACAGAAGAGAATCCCATCGCTGCATGTCGTGCAGCACCAGCAAACCGTTTTCTAAGTGCTGACTCCAGTCATGCCTTCTTGATTCAAGCCCACCCCTGGCAGCTTCCTGGAGCCCACCTTCCTGACCCGACTCTTCCATCCCTACCAGTCAGGCAGATTGCCCAGAGGGGACTTTCCCACAGGGAAGGACAGCCCAAACTCCCGTCTCATTCTGATGCCAGCTTCTCCAGGGCAGGGTGCACACGCACTGAGCACCCCGAAGAGCACCGGCTCAGATCCTATCTCAGCGTGCACAGCACTGCATTGCAGCAGTTAAGGCTTGCCTGGCCGGAGCTGCCTGACACAAGGCAGGCCCGGGTCCCACCCCTGGCATCACATACCCTGAGCACAGCCAGAATGATCCCTGAGCACAGAGCCAGGAGTCAGACTTGAACTCTTGCTGGATGGGCCCCCCAAGGCATAGTGGTTTGCAAACAAATGAAACTATTGCCAAGTGCAAGTATTAAGAACCGTCTGCACAGAAAACACTCCACAACAGCCAAGTTGCTGAGGACAAAACCGATGTTAAAAAAAAAAAACAACAGAATAATGTAGGGGCCAGAGAGAAAGCACAGTGGGGAGGGCCACTGCCTTGCATGTAGCCATCAAACCCCAGTTCTATCCCTGGCATCAGATACAGCACTGCCAGGAGTGATCCCTGAGCAGAGAGCCAGAAGTGATCCTAAGCACAGCCAGGTGTGCCCCCTCCAAAAATAAATTAAAAAAAAAATATAAAAGGAACAATATACTATTAGCACAGAAGTAATCTCCCGAGCACCAACTGGAAATGAAGTGTGCAAGCATTATTTCAATGCACACTGGAAGAAAGCACAGTAGACATGTGAAATCTTCCAGAAGCAAAGTATGAAAGGCGCGGGACATTAGTGAAAAAGCGAGAGGGCACGAGCTGGCGTCAATGCTCAACACAATTGCTGTAACGCTTCCGGCAGTGTCTAGGAGGGAACTGACACACATGCTGGCTCTTGTCCTTGTTCTGCTACTTGCAGGGCTTAGAGACCAATGGAGCAGGAGCATTGGTAACCTGGCCCGGGCAGGCACTGCCCCTGCAGGACACTGGTTAGGGAAAGCACAAAATGTTGCTGATGGCGAAACACGAGATCATGAGTTAGGGAGATAGCTCAACGGGGTGCCGAGCAGCCTGTGCAGGTGGGAGCCCCCAGTCTGACCCCGGTACTGCATGGTCCCCCAAACACTGTCATGGTGTCCTGAGCCAGGTGTGGCCCCACCCCAAACCAAACTCTCAGATAGCTACAATCCTATCTTCCGACAGATGAAAGAACCCTTGAAACCTCTGAGAAACAAATCCACTCAACTCGCTTTTGATCTGGGTGTTGCAACATTCCCTGAATCCAAACCAAGCAACCAAGCCATGCCATAGCCATCAAGGTGGGTAAATCTCAGACCCTAATGTGGAACAGCAACACGAAGCCCATGTGCCAGTCAGTCATCGGCCAGAGAACACTGACCAGTCCTGTGCGCTGGCCGTACACATCCCGCAGAGAAAGCAGCGGGTGCGCCGCTGTGGGGAGGTGCTGAGATACAGGCAAACAGGCAGCGGGGACTGAGTCGAAGCCCCCTGCCCAGTTCCTGGCCAAGAGGCACAGCTGACAGCAGGCACGGAGCCATACAGTCCCCATAGCAGTGCTGTCTACGCAGGGGCTGTTACTTGGCCCTTTAAGGGAAGGGTTCCTGACACGGGAGCTATACAGCGGAGAGCCCCAGGACACAAAACCTGGGAAATTCCACCTTCAGGACAGCCTCCACAGTCGTGGAGACTAGGCCCGGGTGGCCAGGCGAGAAGCCCTGGTACGGTGCGGGAAGCAGCCCGCAGGCTCAGCTAACCCCCTTACCTGAACTCCAGCATCTCTGCAAGTGTCAATGACGTTCTTGGTGCCCTGGTAATTCACCCGATAGAAGAGCTCCTTGTTGTTGCTGGAAGGTGGGGGCGATGCACAGTGGAAAACCGTGCTGACCCCTTTCAGCGCCGGGTAGAGATGCTGCAATAGCAAACACATACACACACTTACACCCACGGGCCTGCAGGGCTCCTCTGGCTCAGCCCTGGCCCACGGGCAGCCAGGAACGCCCTACATGAATGCTCCGGGAATGGGCAAATACAGACACTGGGCTCCCCTCTAGTCACTGCTCCCCACTCTGAACTACCGTGGGGCATGGAAACCAAACAGATCCAAACAGACTGCATGAGGCCCACTCCAGGGGCAGGTGACTCAAACAATGTGCCACACAAAAGAGAGTGTCAGCGGCCAGTTTCTCGGAGAGTCGGTGCCTGAGAGGCCGGGTGGCACGCAGCAAGTGTGGGGCTGCAAACACCCACAGCTGCCCTTCTGCCCCAAGGCCCCGGAGCAGCCCGCACCAGGGGCTACTGGCAGATCGGGGCCAGCGAGACGCGCCGGGCCAGGAACATAGGTTAGGTCTGAAGGAGGAGGCCGGCCTCGGAAAGGACACGGGAATCTATGTGAATAGTCTCCTGCTGGCCAATGCAGAGACAAGCTGACCCCCAGGTTGCGTCTGCAGACCAAGAGAGTCACGTTGCCTCTACACAGGGCACAGGGGCATGAGCTCGGACTACAGTCAAGAGCAGATGCTCCAAAAGGCTGAGGTCTCTACAGAAAGAAGAAAAGCCCAAAGCAGGTGCTGAGACTCACCTACGGATCCCACCGTTAACAGTCAGCCACAGTTCTCTACTAGATATGCATGGACACGAATCTCTGTGAAGCCGGGGCAGTGCTGCACGCAGCCATCAGGCCCCTCTCCTCCCAACTAAGAACCTTCGGAAACTGCCCAAGTGCCAAGGATAGTGTGGTGCAGACGTACAGCTCACCGGTGGCTCCGGCCGGGACCACATGGAGCAACGTAGGCCAGGAGCAGGACAAACGCTGACATCATCACTCAGACAAGCAAGATGAGCAGAGAATGAATTGAACAAAGCCTCTTAGTTAGAGAGACTCTAGAAGGAAGCAGAGGGCAGGGCAATGGGCACTGTCCACGTCAGTACCGTGCAGCCAGGGTCCCTATGCTCCCACCATGGGCCTATTCCAAGGGGACACCGGTGAAAATCGTGTAAGGGGTGGACACGGCATACGACAGGAAGTCAGGCAGTAGGACAGGAGCGACGGAGGAGAGAAACAAGCCCGGAAGGCAGCCAGGTTTGGAAAAGGGCGAGAATCACTGACCTCGATGGTGGCAGAGGGAATCAGCGCTGTGGGTGGAGTGCCCAGTGCGAGGAAGGGCCGCTCGAAGCAGCCACACGCACAGGTTGTGTTTAGGACTGCTCCTGGCATATGGGCTGTAGGATGTGCTACTCACCACAGACACATGCGCTCAGCAGCAGAGCATCCGCCCTGCCCGTGCACGGCTCTAGCTTTGATCTGAGATGGCAGCCACAGGACACAAACAAGACACTAGGACAGCGGGGAGGGCATTGTCCGTCCTTGCACGTGGTCAACCCAGGCTCGATCCCCGGCATCCCATAGGGTGCTCAGAGCACTGCCAGGAGTGATTCCTGAGTGCAGAGCCAGGAGTCAGCCCTGATCATTGCCAGGTGTGACCCAAGAAGAAAAAAAAATCCGTCCATTGTGAAGTTTTTTTGGGGGGCCGGGAGGTTCCCAAGGAGTGCTCAGGGGCAGGGGAGTCATGCCCAGTGAAGGTATACTCAGCCCTGCAGGGGCACCCTCATGGTGCTCGGACCTCAAGGAAAGCAAGTTGCCTCCTCGCACAGACAGAGTTTGCAGACCCAGCTGGTCGCGAATCACCAGGAGGGGTGACTCTTTTTTGTTTTGTACATAAAACAAGTATAATTTACAGAGCAAAGCAAATAGATATCTAACCGGCGGCACCCAGAGTCCTCTGGGATTGCATCTGGCAATGCTTGGGGGACCATGTGCCTTCAGCCCTAGACAACCTCACCCCACTGCTGTGCCTTCTTTAGAAAGACGTCCACAAGAACACTCGAGACATGTGGGGAGGTTCGACTCTGACTACTGAAGAACTGCCATGAGCTCACATGCAGACATGGACCGTCTGGCTAGACTGTAAGGAAGTCACAAAGGACTGAGGCCACTGATTTGTGTTTTCTGAAGCGTCTCCCCTGGAGGAGCAGATACCGGAACATTTACAGAAGATGATGATGTGATGTCTAGGGCTGCTGTCAACAAAATCTGAGGGCAGAGACGAAACAAGACAGGCTGCAAGTGGACACAGAACAGGAGCAATATGAGAAACAGTCCAGACAGAACGAATGCAGGACGGAGACCAAGAGACACACGGAACACTCTGCCATATGCCCAGCTGAGCTTCCAGAAACAGCTCAGAGGAAGAATCGCTCTTCAAAGAATTTTCCAGAAGAGATGGCAGATGAGAATCCTGAGATTGTGATGGCCTCTAGGTGCTGAGGAAGGTTCCAAACCCAAACTCACATGCAGACATGGACCGTCTGGCTAGACTGTAAGGAAGTCACAAAGGACCGAGGGCCCAAGCCAGAGCACTCGGAGTGGCGACAGGGTCACCGGGAACTTCATAGCCCCCTCACCCACACTGGCATTTCTACAAGGCTTAGGCCAATCCAGCCTGGGGGTACCGGCAGCATGCCGTGTCTTGGCAAAAGGAGCAAGCGGGGTTCGCATGGCGGGTGCCCGGGAACTGACCCCCCCCAAGACCCACCCTCATCCTTCACTGCAGCGACCTTTCTTGGTGACCCAGAGCGAACAGCCATCCTGGACCTTCCCTCCCTCCGAGTATCAGCTGGGCGCAGAATTGAGAGGTGCTGTGGGTGGGCACCGCATGCATGCCCAGGGCCTGGATCCAACCCGAGAGAAGCCCCAGCTTACTAAGGTGGGAAAAGAGCCATGAGGGGAGACCATCGGCCCGCTGGCAGGACACTCAGACACACGGCTGTGTGCTCGGCCCTCATCCTCCAGACTCTGAGGGTCATTCAGGCATGGAGGTGGGTTCACCTCCTGTCCCATGGATTTTGGCCCTGAAGTGTGTAAGCAGTTCCAAAATGAGCAACTGGCTGAGCCTGGGGGGATGGGGGGCTGGTGACTGAAGTGGAGGGCTGGGCCAGAGGACAGGAAATGGGGACAAGTAGATCTCTGTGGGGTGGCGCAGGTGTTCTACAATGAGACAATGGGGCGTTGCCCAAATCTGTGACTATGATGGCAACTGCTTGTCTACTTTTTTATTGATCAATTATTGGGGGCTTTGGGGTCACACCTGGCAGTGCTCAGGACTTACTCCTGGCTCCGGGTTCACAGGTCACTCCTGACAGGGTCTGGGGATTGAATCTGGGACACTCATGCTCTCTGTCCCTGTATATAGTTGGGGGGTGGGGGGACACCTGGCCCTAGTGAGACCCCATCTCTAGCACCCCTGGAGTGGTACCCGAGTCCCAGAGCAGCTCAACTGCAGCAGAAGCCCACGGATTGGATGCAATGTGACTTGAACGTCTAGTAACCCGTGGGCAGTCGCAAGGGGCCACTGGCTAGCAGTGCTCTAGGGGGCATGCATGTGCCCTGCCACCCTAGCCCCAGGATAATTTTGCCACTCAGCTTTCCCTGGCAGAGGCCACAGTCAAACGGTCCAAGAAGACAGGGGAGGGGATGTCCACTGCTTTCCTGTAATGACATGCTCAAACTCAGAACTGTGCAGAAAGACCATTGTGTGGCTGGTGAGGAGGTGGGGCACAGTGGGGCCGTTCCTTACGTGGCGGTTGCAGAGGTCTCCCAGGAAGAACTGCACTTGGGCATTGTCAAAGCTCTGACGCACATCAAACACATTGACGGTGTAGCCCTGGGCCAGCAGCTGCTCCACCAAGTGCTGCCCCAGGAAGCCAGAGCCGCCAATCACGGTGCACTTCTTGGCCTGCAAAGGGTGGACAGAGACAGCGGGCGGGGATGAGAGAGGATGGCCGACCCACCTCCCTGAGCCTCCGACCCACCTCCCTGAGCCTCCGTGTCCCGGAGCCGGGTGGTAAGTGGTCCGTGACAGGGACGTGCCTCAGGGGAGCAGCGAAGGAAGAGGCCCCGAGCCTTCTCCAATCCTGGCCTGGGGCGGGGTGGGGATAGGGCCACACCTGTAGTGCTCAGGGGTTCCTTCGGGCTCTGCACTCAGGAATGACTCCTGGCAGTACTCAAGGGACCCTATAGGATGCCCATGATCGAACTCGGGTCAGCCATGTGCAACTGAGCACCCTCCTACTGTGCTATCGCTCTGGCCCTGGCCTGGGTCCTTTGGAGGCAGAACATTCAAAATCCAGCATGCCAGTGGCTCAAGTAGGGCTGCGGCTCTGGATCCCTTGATGGGGCTGTACGCCAGGTCAGTGCTTTGCATTCCAGAGACCTCACTATATGCGCTTCCTGGCCCACAGCGCCCCCTGCAGGCCGGTAACATCCTGACTTGGGGAAGCAATGCCAAGTGATGGCCACTGCCCCTCGGGAGGCCCGGGAGGGGGGCCAGGTCCAGCCGGTAGCTGACACACCCTTCCTTGTCCCCGTTCAATGGCAGTAGAGTGGGGATGACAGCACTTCAACTGACTGAGGTGCACCTTATTCCTCCAGCACCTGCCCAATGACCAATGACCCCATGTGGGAGACGGAGAGGCGCCCCTTCCACCCCAGTGGCTCCCGGGAATGGCTGACTGTGGCGAGGCTGCTCATACTGCCATGACCTCGGGACATAATCGGTAACGCCTGTTCTGCTTCCTTGATTCTACCTTCCCATGTCCTTCACTCCCCTCTGCTGACCTGCTGGCCACTTCACAGTCACAGTCAGGTGGGCCAGTCACACGCACGCCCTGAAGCCCTCTCAGCAGCCTCTCTTCCCATCCTCCAAGGTGGTGGAGGGGAGCATCCGGCACTAACTTCTGGGGGGTTTCTCATCTCCTAAAGGGTTTCCTGGGATCAGAGGATCAGAACTTGAGCAACTTTGCAAGGAAATTGAGGACCCTTTGTCTGGAATGCCTGACATCTCTCATCAAGGATGTCTCAAAGGCCTGGAGTCTCATGCTCCCCCAAATCTAGTCTGTCCACTGCGAGTTCATGCCACCCTCTAACCCGGGCACATCCCATCTCTTTGCCAAGACACAGAATCCAAGAGGGCTGAACTGAGGTGCCAATCTTCTTCGAAGGCCTGGACTCGTGGCTGTTCCGTGGGTTTGTGGGGATGGGACCGAAGTGGCCTTTCCCAGCATGCCCCCCTGTGAAGTCAGAGGGCCGTGAGCCAACCTATAATGGCCCGTAATGAGATAGGATCAGCAGTCACTTCCTATGGCCACAAAGGACAGGGCAGAAGTATGTGTGAGACACACGGGGCGAGGCGCTCCCGAGGAAGGAGGCAACTCCACACAGAAAACAGGAAACAGGACTCAAGAGCCAGCTAGTGAGGGGAGACAGCGACCCCACCTGTAGTAAGGGGGTTCACGAATAGGCAGCGCCACCTGCCCAGATCCACTCAGGGCAAGCAACCGGGCCCGAGACAGGAGCGGGGTCTTGGCCACTGGTGGCTTCTGTCTCCCTTCACCCTTGGCAGTCGCCCTTCCTTCAGAGAAGTCTTACGTAGAATGTACAGAACGGAGTTTAAGGGTTTGTCTTTTGCTTACTAAAATGTCAACCTCTGCAAAGGCACATGGATACAAGCACTGGAAACCAGATTTGGGCTTTCTTTGGGGGGGGTGGGTTTCAGAGCGTCAGTGAAATCTAGTTGACACAAAGCAGAAACTACAGAGGTTTTGCGTGCTGATGGAGCCAGGCATCTGAGATGAGCCTTCAACTCCTCAGCTAGAGGCCCAGGGGAAACTGATCTCAGCTCCACTCCAAGTCCAGGGGGATCTGGCACCCCTGAAGCTTCTGGGGGGTTGCATGCATTTTCCTCTGATGCAATTACATTTACCTTCCTGTGACTACATTCCCCAAACCGTCATGTCCATTAGCAGTGAATGGGATTGGGCCCCCATAATAGCACAGCGGGTCGGTCACCTGTCTTGCACATGGCTGATGTGGGTTTCATCCCTGGCACCCCAAATGGTCCCCTGACCTGCCAGGAGCGATCTCTGAGAGCAGAGCCAGGAGTAAGCCCTAAGCACTATGGGGTGTGGTCCCCAAACCAAACTATTACAAATCTTGGTGAAGAATCTTCCAGAAGCCTGAGAAGTCCTGAAGTCCCTTCTGGCACTTGGGCCTGAGACTCGAGGTGGCCTTTCCTGCCACCCTCGGGGCAGGCTCCTGCCAGGCCACCAAGCAGGCCACGCAAGGGGAGCCACAGCCCTGGACAGTCGGGGGATGGTTACTATGAGACAGTCTCTGGACAAACACAGATCTGTGGGGTCCCTATGACTGCAGCCCGTGAGAGACCCACCCAGAACCCTCCGCGGGTCTCGCCCAAACTGCACTCACGGACAGGAAGTGGGTGCTGCTGCCAGTCCGTGAGTAAGGAAAAGAGAGCTGAGGACACTGCAACTTGGCCTAGTTTTGAAACGTCTCCACGACTTTGACCCTGCAAGGAAACCTCAGCAGCAGGCTGGTGGTGCGTGCTCAGCTCGCCCACACCGTTTTGGCTCGGCTGGGCTGACACTCACCTCTGGGGGGTCTCTCTTCACAGGCAAGCGCGAGGTCTGCTTTCTCAGGAGCTTCGGGGTTTCTGGTTCCATTTCTGCTCCACTCAGCATTCTGACTGCGACCACGTCTCTTCTTCAACACAGAGAGGCAATGACATGGCGTCAACCAAAGCCCCTCTGGGTGGTTGGCGTTTGTGGGGTCGCCGCCACAGCCCCCGGCAGAGGGCAGGTAGAGTGGGGAGTTGGTGAAGTCCCCTTGGAGGTGGCACAGTGCTCGCAGGAGGAGACAAAGACTTTAAGAGTCCTGCGTCCATTGCTGGGGCTGCGGGGAACATGGGACTTTTGTTCATGAACCCCTCCCACGTTTATCAATAAAACGGATGAAGGCTTTGCCTCTGTGATGCTGGAAGGCCAATGAAACGGGGCTCTCTTTGCCGGTGACCCAAAGTGGCCCTGTCTCTGTGCCGAAGAACTGGGGAGTGTCCGGGGCCATCAGAAACCCTCGGGATGTCACCAGCATGGTGAGGAGAGACTTGATGCCAGCGAGATGTAGAGAAGTCACGTAAAGCACCTAGCAGAAGAGGTGTTTGAAAGAGACTCGTGCCAGACCTTCATTCATCCCAAATACTGAAGTGGCAGGGACAAGTGGCCAGCGGACGTTGCTTTGGGCATCTGCTCGCACACCCACGGCACGGGGCGCAGCCGAATGACTAGGGTAATAGAGCTTGGACTCTGGAGTTGGCCCAAGCGTACACCACACAACAGCCTGGCAGGCTCAGGGAAGCTCGGGGTGTCTGCAGACCCCTGCAGCCCTGCACAGGGCAGGACTCCCTGTAGAAGTGATTCTGTGGGTGCCTGACTGGCCCAGAAACTGAGGTTAGGGCCGTTGCTCTCAGAGAAAATAGAGGCCCATATACCCCATTCCAAACCACTTCTCAGAAGGCAGAGAACGGGGAGGCAGGCTCTTCCGGTGCTACTACTCTGCCTTTCCCACCTTCCTGGGTTGGATTCCTGACATCCGTTAACAGGAAATAGAGTGACTGGTGGCCTCGGATCAGTGAAGGTGGTGAGGGGGAATCGCTCTCTTGTGCCACAGCCTAGTGAGCAGAGCATGCTAGGGGGTGGGCCCTACTCACTGATGTATATTGGGGAGCACATGGTCACAGCCTGCCACCCACGATACATGTGTGCCACTAGGGGCTCAGTGGCCTTGGACCCCCAGGCCGCTCCTGGCCTCTGCAGGCTGGCGATCTCAGTCCAATCAGGAGGAGCCTCACAGCAGCTAGCCCCTACCCCGGCCCAGTGCCATTGCCCAAAACATCAGCTTCTGCTCCTGGCCGTCAGATAGCACGTGACTGCCAACACAGGGCTCCCCCATACTCGACCCAAGAACAGCGGGGCATGCAGGCAGCCTTGTCTTGTGCCCCATCTTCGTGGGAGGATTTCTGCTATGTTAGCTGTGGCTGCTGCATGGCCTCCAAGCTCAGCTCAAGCCCTTCCCAGCAGGAAGCCCTGGTGAGGACTGGATGCGCTCAAAAGCCTAACGGCACTACGCCTCGCTTGGGATGGGAGACGTGTGCTGAAAGTAGACCATATAGACTGAACATGATGGCCACTTAATACCTGTACTGCAAATCATAACACCCAAAAGGAGAGAAAGAGAGTAAAAGGGAATGTGCCTGCTACAGAGGTGGGGATGAGGTGGGGGTGGCAGAAGTGATACTGGGAACATCGGTTGTAGAGAATGGGCACTGGTGGAGGGATGGGTTCTCAACCATTGTATGTACGACTGAAACATAAACACCAAAGTGTGTAAGTCTGTAATTCTATCTTACGGTGTTTCACTAAAAAAATTAAAAAATAAATACAAAAAAAAAAGACTCTACGCCCTTGGCCTCTGTCAGAACCTACTGGAAGAACCGCCAGTCTGGCCCCGTGCAGCCCTCCCAGCCCCTTCCTGGTTGGCGGAGAGACTTTGGAGCACTGGAAAGGAGGCACCAATGCCTCTGCCAGCACCTGTTAGAAGCGAGGGTGAGATGCAGACACCCCCAACTTTCTCGAGGAGCCCAGAGAGCAGAGGCTGTGGGTAGATGTGCAGAAACCCTGATGTTCAGAGCCAGGCCAGAGCCGAAACAACAGATGGCCAAGACTCACGGCAGCTGCAGGAAAACAAGCACTGGCCGTAGCACGGCCCATTCCACACAGTTCCCCTGCTTGAAAGGGGCCAGGACGGGAAGGACAAAACTAGCCACTGGAAAGTAACCTGAGCAAACCTCCTTCTGAGACACACATCCACTCGTGTCTGGAAGGGATGAGCTCAGTCAGCTCCCACTGGCACCTGCCACGTGCTCTAACATTCCGACAGATACTTCTTCAAAATACACCCTTTACCAACGGCTGACGAGCCTAAGCAAAGATGCTCATCTGCAGGGAAGTGCAAGAACAGACCAAGTATGATACTCGATGGCCAAAACAGAGAGCCGCAAGTGCCAGCGGGACCGGGGCCCGCCTGTGGTCAGTGGTATAAGATGCTGCAGCCATGCTGGCAAACAGTTCTGGGGGTGGGCTCAGAAAAGGCAGAGAGCAAGAATCAGCATGCGATCAAGCAATTCCACATCTGCGTCTATGCACCCCCGCAAATGGAAAGTAGAGCCAGGAACGAAAAAGTAGACACCAACGTTCATGGAAACACTATTGATAATGGCAGAGAGGCGGAAGCAAGTGCTCACTGATAAGGGACAATACAAGGACTATGCATGTGACGGGATATTACTGTCTTCAAAAGAAAAGAAATTCTGGTAACCATGGGATGAGAGAGTATATTTGTGAGCCAGACACGTAGTAAGGAGCTCATCTCAAAACTATGTCATGGGGCTGGGGAGATGGCGCCAAGGGGCGGAAGGCATACATTGCATGCACAGGCAAGGAGCTTTATTTGCAGAGGGGGGCATATCCAGCGGTGCTCAGCATTTACTCCTGGCTGTGCACTCAGGGATCACTCTTGCGGGGTCTTTCGGGACCATATAGGGTTCCAGGGACCAATCCCAGGTCAGCTGCATGCAAGGTGAACACCCTTCCCGCTGTACTCTCTCTAGCCCCACAAGGCACTGACTTTGATACCTGCTACTGCATGGACCCACCCCCCCACTACCACTATCGGGCCTGCTGGCCCCCAAGCACTGCTGGGTGTGACCATGGTGGCAGAGCCCTGAAGGTCCCAGCACAAAACCACTGGGCCCACAGCTGGGCAAAGTATCATGGGAAGTGGCCCATGGGCACTGCTATGGAGTTGGCCACCAGTGGAAGTCTAGCAGGCACTTATCCAACTCACTAGCAGAAAACCCCTCAGTTGCCTGATTGAAAACTAAGGGGCCAGAGCCTCAATCCAGCAGGCAGGGTGCTTACCGTGCACATGGCCAGCCCAACTCTATCCCTGGCAGCCTGCACGGTGTCCTCAAGCCCTGCCAGGAGTGATCCCTGAGCACCGCTGAGTGTGCCCCACCCCCAAAATGGGCTAAGGATCTGAGCAGGCATTTCTACGAAGACATACAAATGGCAAACGGCATACGGAGAAAACGTTGAAGGCTACGAATCACCCAGGAAACGCGGGTCAAGTCCACAGTGAGAGCACCTCCCCCTGTCAGATCAGCTGCCACTGAAAGGTGAAAAGGGAAGTGTTAGCGAAACCTGCAGAAACAGAAACCCTGGCAAGCTGCTGGGACGGACTGGCAACTGGTGTGGAGATTCCACACAATGCCAGAAACAACACTGCCAGGTAACCTAGCAATCATGTCTGATTTTTGAGCCAAGAGAACTGGAGAGTCATGGTCTAGTGGGGAAGGCACTTAACTGGCACATCACCAACCCGGGTTCGATCCTCAGCATCCCATGTTTCCCTGAGCCTGCCAAGAGTGATTCTGGAGGGGCTGGAGAGATAGCACAGCAGGTAGGGCGTTTGCCTTGCATGCGGCCGTCCCGGGTTCGATTCCCAGCATCCCACATGGTCCCTGAGCACTGCCAGGAGTAACTCCTGAGTGCAGAGGCAGGAGTAACCCCTGTGCATCGCCAGGTGTGACCCAAAAAAGCAAAATAAAAAAAGAGTTATTCCTGAGTGCAAAGCCAGGAAGACCCCTGAGCACCGCTGGGTGTGGCCCCTCCCCCCAAAAAACCAAAAACCCCAAAAATCTAAGAGAGCTCAAAAAGAATAGATCTTGACGACACAGTAGGAACCCTATTTTTACTATAGCACGATTTCCAACAGTCAAGATGGAAATGACTACCAAAAATGAGTGGGAAAAGAAAGCTACAAATGAATACTATTCAGCCTTGTAAAAAGATGGAAATTCTGTCATTTGTGGCAACAAAAACTAGCCTTGAGGACATTATTCAAGGGGAAAGGAGCCAGTCACTGTGTAACAGACACTAACTCATACAGCCCTAGAGAGGAACATGGGCACGATGCAACTGGGGTGAGGAGGAGCAGGGGCTTGCATCAGAGGCGTGAGATGAGAATGTTCTAGAGATTTGCTGTCCAACATTCCAGCAACATCTACAGTTAGTATGGCTATACTATATTCCCCCCCCCCCCGCCGCCACGGGTCTTATGTTCACTGTTTTCACCCAAAAAAACTAAACTGAGAAGAGAAATTCTGACAGATGCTTCCAGGAGCATGAGCGTGGTGGGCACTGCGCTCAGTGAAATGAGGCAGAAATACAGGTACTCAAAGAGCTTGATTCTCCTACAAGGTGGGCAGAGTCATAGCTGTGAAGTGTGACCTGGCACTGCTGGTGCTGGTGCCGGGGGAACTGCCTCATGGCTAATGGCTTGCACTTTGGGAAAGGGAAAAGTTCGAGAGATGACTGGTGGGGACAGCTGCATGACAGAAGCAAATGGTGCTGCACAGGCCAGTTCCAAAAGTTTCCCATGCCACTGCACCGTGACAGGAGGCCCAGGCCCAATGAACATGTGCTCGGGACTGTGAAGGAGTGCCCAGCAGCCTTGACTCAGTTCAGAGGGAGTCTGTACACAGCTATCTCTGCTGGAACAGAGCCTGCAGCTACACAGATAAAATGCCAGCGCTTCGCTCCAGCTCCCACGAAGGGGGGTGGCTGCCCGCTTTTGCTCCAAGGCGAGCAGGCAGTGTTCTACGCATCCATCCGTCCAGTACAGAAAGTTCTCGAGCACTGAGTCCCGGACACAAAGGGACACTCTGACCAGAGCAAGCCAGATAGGGAGCAGTGTCTTCTGGGAGATCGTGGGTGATGGGCCACACAGACCAATTCAGGGGTATGGGTTGGGATGTCTGGGACCTTGTGGCCAAGAAAACGCAAGCATCCCAAAAGACCCCCCCCAAGCACTCCATCAGTTCAACCTGAGCATTCGTGGGCCTGAGGGGCTGCCTGTCACTGTCAGTCACCTGCCTGTTGATATATGAACGCCGGCACGACCCAGCTGATGGGTGTTGTCCTGGTCTTCTCCAAGGTCTTCTCCTCCCATCCTCAGGGTCCCAGCCCTGAGAAGGGCAGCCGTCTTTCCTCCTCAGCCTCTGTTCCACCCCATCTTAGCATGATGGTGCCCATTTTCTACCTGGCTATGAGCCCTGGTGGGGCAGGGAGACCTCCCTGTGAGCTGGAAAGGAGTGGAGCCCGCAGGCTGACTCTGTCACCGAGGGCAGCGAGGGCAGGACTGGCATACAATGTGGCCCCACTCCTAGGAGCCATCCCAGTATGGTAGGCTGGCAGGCAGCAGCATAAAGGGAGAGCGGCTAACCAAAGACAGGTGCCAGGCAGACAGAGCCAGTGCGCTGTCACAGTGAGTGTGAGGCAAGACGGGGGCAAAGGTGAGAGGAGGCAGCGCCCATGGGCCAGGCGAAGTCATCACCCCAGGGTCCAGTGTGGTGTGAAAGAGCATCTAGCTGCGGGTAATAGGGGAGGGTTAGAGGAAGGCAGAGGAGAGACAGACGGGAAACGGAGACTCTGAGAGGCCAAGCCATTTACCCAAGGTCACACAGCTGGGGCCCAGCTCAGGCAGAACCCGCGGGCGTTCCTTCTGGCCAGCCTTGGGGGCTGACCAAACAGTGAGGAGGGCTCCGAGGGCCGAGAGCAGGCAAGGGACCTGAGCAGAGCCCGTGACAGAAGATAAACGGGGTGAAGAGAGTGATAGGGCAGCGTAAGGAATCGGGTGGGCGACTCCCCGGTGGCTCTGGAAGGGTCTGCAGCCCTTGCTGTCCCTGGTACCCAGGAAGGGGCAGCAGGGACCAAGGAAGCAACCTAGGAAGCAAGTCGACATGAAGTTAGAAGGTGAAGGCAGAAGGGGTGGAGCAAGGTGCTTGGGAGAACAGGGAGCAGGGTGCCAGGCAGGCACCCTGGGCTGAAGTGAGAGAGGGACAGAGTGCTGGAAACTGCGATGCCAGGAAGGCAGTGGGCTGCCAGGAGACAGGGAGAAGAAGGTGCCACGGCTGAGGGCAGATGGGCAGAGGGTCAGGGGGTTATTCCTGAGCCCGACACCCCGCGCCCCCTCTCCCGCGCCTCGGGGCAAGGCAGGTAAGGGCTGAGAGCCGCGGGGGCTGCTCCGCCGATGCCCACCGTCGCCGCTTTCGAAGGCTCTCGGAGCTCACTTCCGCGCACTGCCGTCGGCCCTGCGAGAAAGACCGAACGCGCTCGGGAACGGCGGGGGACGCTTCGTCGGCTCGGGCTGCGGGGGTCTTCTCGGAGTCGGCTGCAAAGTGGCGGCCGCCCCGCCGGTCGCTCGGCAGGTCTCTTTCCCACGAGTGACTAGCGTTGTCGCAGCCCCACTCCCCCGTCCCGAGACCAAGAAGACGCCGTGTGCACCTGCGCCCTGAAGACCCCCGTCCCTCTGGCCGTTTCCCGCCACACCGCGCCATCGCGGACGCCCGCCCAGCTCCCGGACCCTCTATTTGGTACCCCGTGGCGGCGGGCCCGAGGCCACGATGCTTACCGCTGTGTCGGCGAACCCGTCCCGGCCGGCGTCCGTGCGCACTAACGGCGGTAGCGCCCGCGGTCCGAGACTAGTCTGAGCTCCACGCCCACGTGAGCTCACGATGGGCCGAGGCGTCCGCACGCAGACGATTGGCCGGGCTCGGGGCTGTGTGCGCCGGCGCCGTGACGCCGCCCAATGAGCTCGGGCCTGGACCGCCGGCGCACCGCCCCCGTCCGGGTCAGCCTCGACCACGCCACGCTCGACCAATGAGAAGACGTGAGGGCGAAGGACTGGCCAATGGGGAGCCGGGTCAGGGGCTGAGGGGCGGGACGGTGCTGAGTCCGAGTGGACGTCGTTGCCGTGACAACGGGCGGCGCCGTCCGGTAGCGATGGTGAGTGGCAGCTGCTGGGAGGCGCGCGCGCGGGCCGAACAGTTCCCAGGCCTCAGGCGACCCGCCGCGTCTACTGCGCACGTCAGCGTTCAGGGTGCCGCTTCTGCCCTGCGTCCGCAGCGCCCGGAAGGCCTGGGTAGAGTCGCCCGACGCCCTGCCGCGCCCGCCATCCGTTCCTCCCGCCCCTGGGCTCCCCGCGGCCTCCCTAGCCCCCACCTCGGGCCTCCCCAGCCCCTGCCTCGGGCTCCCAAGCCCCCTCATCCTGGGCCTCCCCAGCCCCCCATCCCGGGCCTCCCCAGCCCCCGCCTCGGGCTCCCAAGCCCCCTCATCCTGGGCCTCCCCAGCCCCCGCCTCGGGCCTCCCCAGCCTCCCGTCCTGGGCCTCCCCAGCCCCCTGTCCCAGGCCTCCCCAACCCCCCCATTCCAGTCCTCCACAGTCCCCCACCCCGGGCCTTCCCTAGACCCCACCCCAGCCCTCCTTAGGCCCTTATTCCCCGCCTTCCCTAGCTCTCCACCCCTTAACCCCCCTAGGCCCCATCCCCATCCCCTCTCCCTAGTCCTCCACCCCACCCTTCCCTAGTTCCCCTCCCTAGCCAATCCCCACCTTCCCTAGCCCCACCCCCACCTTCCTTAGCCTCTCACTCTCCAGCCTTCCCTAGCCCTCCACCCTTCCCTAGTCCCCCCCCCCCTTCCCTGGCCCCCACCTCCACCTCCTGTCCTCCTTAGCTCTGGCGACTTCCTTAGGCTCTCCACACCTTCCCTATCCACTCCGCACCTTCCTTAGCTCCCCACCCCTCCAAACCCCCACCCCTGGCCTTCCTTACTCTGGGCACCCCCCCTCCTCCGCCCTGCTTAACGTCCCTACACCCTCTCACACTGTAATTGCCTCTTGGCACCAATTTCCACCCCCAGCTGGTCCACTCCTTTAAGGTGTATTTGACGGGGCTTTCGGGATGGAGTTTCATGTGAGAGTACTTTGGGGGGAGCCACGGCCAGTGGGCATTTCAGGACTCAAGTCCCCCAGTTCTGGGCGAGCTGATGACTGTCAGTCGCAGTCAGCCTCCTGATGAGCTGTCCTGGGGGACGATTTCCCTTGAGAGGTGTCCAGAAGGCAGTGGTCGGCGCTGCCCCTGGCAGCAGCAAGAGGAGGGAGGGCGGGGTGCCCGAGAGAAGCCTGGGCACTGGCTTGGCGGAGGGGCGGGACTGGCACGTACCATGTGAGCTGTGTTCCAGAAGTCTGCTTCTATGTTTGTGGCGTGCCTGAAGGCCTCAAGTGTAAAGAAGGCGAGCATGGCGTCTTCTGCGCAGAGGAAGAGGGTGAGTCCGAAGCCAGAGCTCACGGAGGAGCAGATCCAGGAGGTCCGTGAAGCCTTTGATCTCTTCGATGCCGACGGAACCGGCACCATAGATGTCAAGGAGCTCAAGGCAAGTCCCAGTCCCCGGCCCGGTCCCGCTCTTCCCCTCTGTAATGGGTTGACGCCCACCACTGGGTGCCCGACTCGCCTCACCTCAGCAGTGCGCGCAGGATCGGGCTTGCCGGCCTGCAGCCCCACTGGGTGCACCCGAGCTTATCCACACAACCTGTTTCTGTTGCAGGTGGCAATGCGGGCCCTTGGCTTTGAACCCAAGAAAGAAGAGATCAAGAAAATGATAAGCGAAATCGATAAGGAAGGGACTGGCAAGATGAACTTTAGTGACTTTTTGACTGTCATGACTCAGAAAATGGTGAGTTGGCTAAGTCAGCCGGCCTCTTTGCCGCCAATTGGGTGGGATTAGAATCAGGACAGAAAGTGCCATCGAGAAAAATCAGTAAAGGCTGGAGATTCCCACTGTCACGCTTAGAATTTCTGGCCGAGAGCTTAGGCGCATAGGTTCTCGAGGACTCTGAAAGGCCACAGAGCCCCAGGGTCCAGGGGTGGAAGGACTCTGCTCTCCTGCACCTGCTCTGTCAGGGCGAGGCGCACAGGCTGTGGGGAGCCCGGCAGCACCCCGAATAAGGGAAGGCCATGTGTTTGGGTAGACTCCACCGTTTGCGTTCTCTTGTCCCCCGTTTGGGAATTTGGCAAGCCCCGGCCTGGGGCCTTGGCAGCTGTGTTTGTCGCCACCGCGCTTCAGTGCGCCCCTTTCCTAGCACCTGAAGGGGCGGAAGACACGGTAAGATGTCGCTCCAGTTCTTCTCTGTCCCCAGAGAGGCCTGAGGCCTCCTGACCCGGTGCTCTTGCCTCGCCTCCTACCTCCTTCCCGGGGTCCCCGCTGCCCTAGGGATCGTGTGATTTTAGGCTGATGGTGCAGGCCACCCGCACCCGCTCTGCTCTATTCTCACGACAGCTCACACGTGTGCTTCTCTCTGCATGAGGCACTGGAGCGATTCCTGTTCCATCATGCCCTCGGCTTGCTGTCCCTAGCCCCTTCAGGAGTAACTGCTCGGGATGTTCAGGTCGGGCTCAGCTTACCAGGGCGTTGCTGGGACAGCCTTTGGGCTTCTAAGGGTGTCAGAGGCCTCCAGTACTGACCACCAGGAACTGCAAAAGGGTCACTTTTATTTTTTTTCTTTTTGGGTCACACCCGGAAATGCACAGGGGTTCCTCCTGGCTCTGCACTCAGGAGTTACTCCTGGCAGTGCTCAGGGGACCATATGGGATGCTGGGAGTTGAATCCAGGTCGGCCGTGTGTAAGGCAAACGCCCTACCCACTGTGCTATCTCTCCAGCCCCAAAAGGGTCACTTTTTATGCCTGTGCCAACATGGCCCCTGGGCCTGCACCAAATTCCTTGACCCTGGGATCTTACTACATTCTTGGGCTCACACTGCATCTCCGGTACAACACACAGCCCTGGCCTCACACTGTACCCCCGGGCCCACACACAACTCTGGGCTCACACAGCCTGCATGTAGGACTAACACTTCGCTCCTAGGCTCATACAGTACCCCAGAGCTAACACTGCACCCAAGTCTCTCACACTACACACCTAGGCTCACACTGCACCCCTGGGTTCACCCTGCACCCAAGACTAACACTTCACTCCTCAGCTCACACGTCACCCCTGGGCTGACACTACCCAAATCTCACTCTGGACCCCAAAGCTCACAGTACCTTGGCTCACACATACACTTGGGCACAAACTGCACCCAAGTCTCACTCTGCACGCCTGGGCTCGCCCTGCACCCAAGACTCACACTGCACCCCTTGGCTCACACAACACCTCTGGGCCCACACAGCACCCTGGCCTCGCACTGCTCCACGAATCTTGCTGCACCTCTAGGCTCACACACTCTTGGGCTCACATTGCACCCACGTCTCACTCTGAACCTTTAGGTTCACACAGCACCCAGGACTCACATGAACCCAAGACTAACTCTACACCCCTGGGCTGACAGAGCAAGCTTGGGTTCACATTGCACGCCTGGTCTCACACAACATGATTGGGCTCACACTGCATTCAAGTCACACTGCATCCCTAGGCTCACAGAGCATCCTGGGCTCACACTGCACTCAAGGCTCACTCTGTACCCAAGGCTCACTCTGTACCTGTAGGTTCACACAGCACCCAAGATTCACTCTGAACCTCTGGACTCACACTGCACCCAAGTCTCACTCTGCACCCAAAGACTCACACTACACCTGAGTTCACACTGCACCCAAAACTCACACTTCACTCCTAAGCTCACCCAGAACCCTGAGTTCACACTGTACACAAGTCTTACTGTGCACCCCAAGACTCACACAGCACCCATGGCTCAAACACACCCTTGGACTCACACTGCACCCAGATCCCACACTGCACCCCTAGGCTCACGCTGCGCACCCAAGACTAACACTTCACCCCTGGGCTCACACTGTACCCAAGACTCACAATGCACTTCTAGGCTCACAAAACAACCCTGTGCTCACACTGCATCTAAGTCTTACACTGCACCCCTAGACTGACACAGCACCCACGAGCTAACACTGCACCCATGACTAACACTGCAACTCTAGGCTCACACAGCACTCCTGGGTTCACTCCACCCAAGTCTCACACTGCACCTCTGGGCTAACACAGCAATCCTGGGCACACACTGAACTCACAAATCTTATAGCACCCCTAGGCTCACACACACCTTTGGACTTAACACTGCACCCAAGACTCAGAGCACCCCTGGGCACACACAGTTTTGGGCTCACCACTGCACCCACGTCTCACTCTACATCCCTAGGCTCACACAGCACCCAGTGCTCACATGCATCCAAGACTACCTCTGCACCCTGGGCTAACACAGCAAGCCTGCACTCAAGACTGCACCCACAGTACCCAGGGCCCAACTGCACCCAAGACTCACCCTGGTCTCATACACATGCTTGGGCTCACACTGCACTCAAGTTTCACGCTGCATCCCTAGGCTCACACAGAACCCTGGGTGCTCACATCACTCCTGGGCTGACACTGTACACAAGTCTCACTATGCACCCCATGGCTCACACACTTGGGCACACACTGCACCCAAGACTAACACTTTAACACTTGATTACAAGGCACCCTTGGCTCACACTGCATTCAACACTCACTGCACTTCTAGGCTCACACTACACCCTCGACTCACCCTGCACCTGTGGGCTAGCACAGCACCCCTGGGCTCACACTGCACCTGTGGGCTAATAGCATCCCTGGGCTCACACTGCACTGAAAATTCACACTGCAAACCTAGGCTTACACAGCATGCCAGGGCTCACACACACCCTTGGGTTCACACTGCACCCAAGTCTTCCTCTGCACCCTAGGCTCACACACCACCCTGGGCTCACACTGCACACAAGGGCTAACACCACACCCCTGGGCAGACACGACCCAAGACTCACACTGCACCCCTCGGTTCACACACACGCTTGGACTCACACTGCATCCAAGTCTCACACTGCACCCCTAAGGCTCACACTGCACCCCTGCACCCCTGGGATCACTCCGCACCCAAGACTCATTGCATCCCTGGGCTCACACACACACGCTTGGGTTCATGCTGCACCCAAGTCGCATATGGCACCCCATGTTCGCAAGGCACTCCAAGGCTCATAGAGCACCCATGGGGTCACCCTGCACCCAAGATTCGCATTGCAACCCTGAACTCACACACACGCTTTGGCTCACACTGCACCCAAGTCTCATGCTGCTGCTCCCCAACGCTCACACACCCTTGGGCACACGCTGCACTCAAGTCTCACTCTGCACCCCAAGACATACATAGCACCCATGGGCTCACACGCACCCTTGGGCATACAAGCACCCAAGTCTCACCTTGCACCCCTGTGCTAGCACAGCACCCCTGGGCTCAACCTGCACGCAGGGCTAACACTTCACTCCGAGGCTCACAAAACACCCTTGGGCTCACACTGTACTTAAGTTTCACTATGCACCTGTCGGCTCACACAGCACCCATGGACGCTCACACTGCATCCCAGTCTCACTCTGCACCCCGGGGCTCACCCTGCACCCAAGACCAACAGTTCAACACTAGACTGACACAGCACCCCGGTACTCACACTGCACTCTAGACTCACCCTGCACCTGTGGGCTAGTACAACACCCCTGGACTCACATTCCACCCAAGACTCACACCGCACCTCTGGGCTCACACTGCACCCAAGACTCACTCTTCACCCCTGAGCTCACACAGCACCTTTTTGCTCACACTGCACACAAGATTCACACTGTACTCCTAGACTCACACAGCACCCGTAGGCTCACAATACACCCAAGACTCACTCTGCACCCCTGGGCTAACACAGCACCTCTGGGACCACACACTGCTGGGCCCACACCTTACACCTAAGATCACACCACATCCCTGGGCCCACAAGCACCTCTGGATCCACACTGCTCCCCTGGGCTCACCCTGTACCCAAAACTAACACTTTAGCCTTTGGCTCACACTGCACCATGGGGCTCACACTGTACCCGTGAATAACACTGCACCCCTGGGTTCACACTGCACCTCTAGGCTCACACAGCACACTGGACCCACATGCCCCCAGGGCTCACATAGCTCCCCAGGGTTCACACTATACCTGTTGGCCCACACAGGTAAGAGATCACTTTGTGCAAAGGAGCCTGGCGGCTGCTGTTGTGTTGAGGGTAGGGGATGTAGACTTGGGGTTCGCATCACTGATGAAATTGCAATTTGAAACACAGAAGGAAAAGGTCAGCGGGGGCCAGTGGCCCAGTGACAGTGGGGGTGCGGCCTGGCCCTCTCTGTGTTTGCACACCCTTGTGTATTTGGGGTGGCGTCCTGGCCGTGGGAGCTCAGTGGGCACTTGCCTTACTGCAAACGCAACTGCTAGGCTTGCCGTTGGGCCTCCGGCAAGGAACACGACCAGCACACCACCCTCGGTTGCACCACTCTTTGCTCTGGCTCCGCCTCCGTTTCTCTGCTCTGAGTACCGTGCACGGAGCGCAGCCTTTACGGTCCGGCCGCAGCCCCTGAGCTTGTCCTCCTTTGCTGCTCCAAGGAGTCTGGTCTGTCACTCGGGCCTATGTTCTGAGAGCCCTCACAGAAACCGGGCGGGGGAGCGTGGCGTTTCCCTCCTCACTCTGTCATGTGCTCCTCCTTCAGTCTGAGAAAGATACCAGAGAGGAAATCCTGAAAGCGTTCAAGCTCTTCGACGATGATGAAACTGGGAAGATCTCGTTCAAAAATCTCAAACGCGTGGCCGAGGAGTTGGGCGAGAACCTCCCTGACGAGGAGCTGCAGGTTGGTCCAGGCTGGCTCTGGGGTCTCTCCTTCCTGCTCCCGGAGGACGCACATTGCACAACTGTACTCACCATGTTGGGTTTTGGGCCCCTCTGAGTGCGTGAAAGTGCGGGGCACGTCTGTACTGGGTGTGCCGCGGCTATCTGTCACTCATGGCCCCCGATCACAGCAGTGATAAGGCAAGCATTTGGGGTGGGGTGGGTGGGGATTTGGAGTCTCAGTAGCTGCTTTTGAATGAAAAACCTAGGCCCCTTGGCTGTTGTGCTGGCCGAGCGTCACCCACTTGGCTGCAGTGCTTCCACTCAGACTCAGCATCTGTCTGCCAGAAGCTGTGCCCTCGTTTGCCACCCTGAGCATTGGAGGTGTCCCCAGGAGAGCGCTTGGCATCTGTGTGGCGATGTTGGGGATTGAAGTTGGGGCCCTCACACTCACCAGAGAGGCACTGTGCCGCTGAAGCCGACGGGTCTGGATTTTTGCCGAGTGGAGTAAGCATAATGTGACAGGCTACACTTATTTAGGGGTGTTCTAGGGGGGGATTCACACATATTTATGAGGGGACAGGTGGGCATGCACAGCAGGGGAACAGGCAATGAACATTCAGAACGAGTAGCACATATCAAGAAAGTGGCAGAGAGGTCCCCTTCTCTTCCCCAGGGAGTAATTTCCGGGTGGTAATGATGGAATGGGCATGGGGTCAGGGACACTGCACTACACAGCCTCCACTGACCATCTCTGTCCCGCTGGGGATCTGGGCTCTTTGCTAGTAGAAAAGTGTTGGTAAGATTGTCTTGGTCCGATTAAAGCCAAGAGGGCATAAGAGTGGCTGCTTGAAGAGCAGGATTGTCGCATCCTCCTGGCCACAACCCTCAGGCCAGCCCGCTTTGGTTTTCGTCAGGTGGTGGCTTGGGCTGCACACAGCAGCACTCTGGGAACTACCTGTGGAACGGAGTCAGAACCGGGGTCACCAGCCGCGTGCAAAGGAACTTCCTCGCTTCCAGATTCTCTCTCTAGCATGCCCCTTTTGCTCCCTTGCGTCTAATCTCTGTCTCCATTTGGAGGGGAAGAGATGGGGCAGACTCACTTTTCATTTCATGTACCATGATCAAAGCCTACTGAGGGACCACATTTTTGTTCTGCTTCTGAGTTTGTCTGACCTGGATTTTTCCCGTCATGCAGGAAATGATTGATGAAGCCGATCGAGATGGAGATGGAGAGGTGAGTGAGCAGGAGTTTCTGCGCATCATGAAGAAGACCAGCCTTTACTGAGACCAGTCTGTCCGTCTCCACTGCAAGCACACACACCTCTAGCTTCGAACCTGCCCTGCGTGAAACGCTCCACAACACAAACTCACCTCTGACCTTCCCAGCTAACTGGAGCCGCTGCGGAACGTTTGCTTAGCTCGTTCTCTGTCAGAGGCTCTGACCACTTCAGTTGTCTAAGGCACATTAGGGGAGAGCACAGTAGAGAGGAGGAAAGGGCCTCAGAGCTTGTACTTCCCTGCCGGTCTTGCCCCCCTCCTCCATGCATTCCACTTGTGGCCAGCCACAGAAGGGTTTTGGGACAAGCACATGTGCCCACATGCCCCAGGCAGGGCTGTCTCTGATGGATCCCGTTTGATTGACACCTGAGCTTTCTCTTTTCTAAAACTCTCACTTGCATTTGGATGTGTATTTGTGCTATTTTGTTATGTCTTAAAATAAATTCCTTATTTTGAGCTTTTACTCTCAAAGGATGAGTTCTTTAGTCTCGGTTCATTCTCGAGACCGATGGGTTTTAGCTATGGGCAGGTTGAAAACCACCCGTTCACCATCGTGCCAACCACAGGTGGCCAAACTTAACTTGGTCTACTGCCTCCTATTCAGGAAAAAAATCACCCAGTCCCCTTCTTTAAGTAATTGAATACAAAGTGCCCCCAACCTTATCTAAAACTAGCCCCATCCCCTGAATAGCTGCAGTGTCCCCCTGGGAGTGGGCAGAGGCAGCAGCATCCCGTTGGAGAAACTGTTGTAGGTATCAGCCATCCTCAGCCTTCCCTGACCGTGGCTCTCTCCCTGCCCTGCTTCTTCCTCCGTCTTACTAGGTGGCCCCGGGTCTTTTCATTTATTTCAATTTGAGGAGCCATGATTTGCAATCCTGTTAATGATGGGGTTTCATGCGTACAGAACTGTACCCTCTCACCAGACACCCCACCTAGCCCGCCTCCTTGGTGAGCTCATGTCTGTTGACAAGTTCTCATTTTCTGTTGCTTTGGGTGACTTTTTATTCCCTTACTGTATTTCCTTACATCCTACATTTGTGAGGGGTCATTCATTCTGTGTCTTCCCTCTCCTTCTGGCTAACTTCACTCGGCATAATCCTCTCCGGATGCATCCCCGTAGCAGCAAATAGCATGCTTTTGTCTTGCAACCAGGTGAGTAGTCCATGAGGAATTTGCACTATAGTGAACCCAGCCAGAGGCCTTGGACGCAGGTGCTGTAATGGACATAGGAGTGTAGATGGCTTTTTGGAATAAAATTTTTGGACTCGTGGGATAGATGCCAAGAAACGGAATTGCTGGAGCATATGGAAGCTCGGTGGTTTGTTTTGGCCTATATTTGGTGGTGCTCAAGGCGTACTCCTGGCACGGTGCTCCAGAGCCACAGCTGGTCCTGAGGATCAGACCAGGCTCAGCAACTTGCAAGGCAAGTGTCTAACCCTCTGTGCCCTCAGACCCCATCAATTCCTAGGCTTATGAGAGTGTCACTTTATTTTCCTAAAAGTCAGACCAGTCAACATTCCCACCAGGGGTGGATGGGATTCCCTTTTCCCCATATCTATGCCAACAGTGCCCCCCCAGTCTTGTGTAGTGACCCCCCATTTACATGATTTTCACCTGTAGCACTTAGAATATCCCAGGGGGCCCACTGGGGACCATGCGGCGTTGGGTGAGAAACTATTCTAAACGTTTGTGTTGAAGGCAGCATGGTGATCCGAACTCTTGACTGCCTATGGACAGAAAGCAAAATCATCCTTTGCTGTTGACATGATTTGTTTCTTGTTTAGGAGCCCCTTAGTTTATAAACTAGTAGTTTCCCTGTTGCCATAGCCTACATGAAGCCCTATAAATAGTTGTGGCACCATGAGAGGCTGAAAAGGAAAAGTCATTTGAGCTTGGGAAAAAATGTGAGAGCACCAGCTGGCTGAGTCTCCCTCTGTGGCCAGCTGCTGTGCTTGGCTTTGTCTTGGGATTTTGCTGTGGGGCTGAGGAGAGTGAGGGGCCAGTGCAGCTGCTCCCTCTTGGGCCTCCCTGGGGCCTGTCACAGAGATGAGACCTATTGAGGTCCCGGTCAGGGGGAAGTGTCCGAGATGGACTCCTCAGTCGCCCACAGCTGCAATGGGAGCAAGCCACGGGCTGGCCCAGGGCACGTCTCTCAGCAGAGACCTGCCCCTTTGCACTCCCAGCTGCTGAGGTGAACCGAATTCCACCCGGCCTGGTGAGTGCCTGTGGGGAACTGTCGCTGAGGGCCCACCATGGGGATCTGCTGTAGAGGGGCTTCTCGGAGCAGTGCTTCTTTTTTTTGCTCTTTGGGCCACACCCGGCAATGTACAGGGGTTACTCCTGGCTCTGTGCTCAGGAATCATCCCTGGCGGTGCTCAGGGGACCATATGGGATGCTGGGAATTGAACCCGGGTCAGCCGCGTGCAAAGCAAATGCCCTACCCGCTGTGCTATTGTTCCAGCCCCAACGGAGCAGCGCTTCTTAACTGCTTTCCCCTCGTGACCCCTTTTGCCAGCGCTGCCAGAAGTCCCTCAGACTCACCATGTGGTTGATTGTGAAGTCAGCGCTGCAACCTTTTACTGTGGAAGTTTTTGTCACCCCCCCACCACATTCAGTGTCTTGGCACCCCCAAAGGATCATGGCACCCACAATTGAAGAAGCTAGGTCATAGAGGAAAGGGTGGGAGCAAGAGAGGCCGGCACCAGTTCAGAGCTGGGTTCTCAGGATGCCACTTCTTCCGGGGCAGAGGGAAATGGGGGGAATCTGGCCCCAGGGTCCTGCCGCCACAGGAAGAGTTGTACCAGCCTCAGAATCTGGGTTCAAATCAGTGCTGACACAGAAGCCTGGACTTTGGGCCCGACAAAAACAGCACAACGCCCCAGAGTGTCTCTCCTCAGCCTCATTGCTTTGGAGCGATTGGCATGTACCACACCTGGGGTTTATGTGTGTCTGTGGAACGCTTCTGATTACTGACTCCTGTGTCGAGTTGGTAGCGTTTTTGGGAGGATGTCACGGAAGCACATTGCTGTCTTTTAGGAGGATCTGGCCAGAGCCTGTGGGGAACTGTCGTTGAGGGCCCACCGCGGGGGTCTGCTGTAGAGGGGCTTCTAGGAGCAGCGCTTCTAAACTGCTTTCCCCTTGTGACCCCTTTTGCCAGCGCTGCCAGAAGTCAGTGCTGTCACCCTGGAAATGCCTTATCTCCTCCAGCCCAGTGTCATTGTCATTACCCTGGAGCCCGCACAACCGTTCTGTGGCGGGCTGGCAGTTTTCAGATGTGGGACTGCAGCGGAGTGGCCGCAGGGGACACTGACCAGCTGGTACAGGCAGTGGACGGGAGGGGAGAGCCTTGTTGCTGGCCTTGTCTGTGGGACAGCTGGAAGGAGAGGAAAGAGATGTGGGGGAGTGGTTTGCGCAGCCAGAGGCAGTGCCCCTTGGGATGAGGGGGACGTCAGAGATGGGGAGAGAGAGGGAGCAGGGCTCAGCCCTCCTGAGTGCGCCAGAGCGATGGCCGGGGAGGTCACTCCTAGTGCAGATACAGCAGGAAGATCCCAGGGAGTAGGGAGGGCCCCAAGGGGAAACCTGGGCTTGGCGTGAGGCTCAGGGGAGGGGCTGAGGCAGGTTCGACAGGATGGGCCTTATGAGGCTGATCTGGATTGTGGTACGGGGTGGCTGGGGGCCAGAGAACGGGGCTCCCTCCTTGCAGGGCTTGACTAGAGATGTGCAGGTGTCGCCCGGTGGCGGCTGCTGGGGGCTGGAGAAGTCACGCCCTGGCCATGATGCTTTAGGAACTGACAGTCTTATGGCTCTTGGCGTCTGTGGGGCCACGCTCAGACTCTTGCAAGGGGCACGGAGCAGCTGAAAGAAGGAGGCAGCTTGTGTTGTGCCCTTTCCGGATGAGCTGCTGGCCTGGGCGGCCCACTGGGCACAGATGGGCAGAAATGCACATGGACTGTTGCCTCCTGAGAGACATGGGAGCATGTCACCCTCAGCCAGATAAGTCACTCGTGCTTGCCACTCACCTCTCCAGAGAACACAGCCAGGGACACCCCCCTCCATACCTAGCTGCAGCCGTTTATCAGTTTATCACAAGCAGAGTGGTTGGCACCTGCCTCAGAGAATAGACAAGCAGGCAAGGACTGTCTGCACTTTAGGGACCCCTGTGCAGCCATCAGTGGTCTCGCGGGTTGCTCCCAACACTGAGCTGTTGGTTAAGGTGACAGCAACATTAGGCCAGTTAGTCAGAGGCTGGGGTGGTTGGCAAAGCCATCAAAAGGTGACCTTAGGACAGAAAGGCTGGACCGTTTCCTACTCTGTTTTCGCCTCTGCTTTCTGTTTTGTCTTTGGGCCACACCCAGCTATACTCAGGGCTTACTCCTGACTCTGTGCTCATGGATCACTCCTTGCTGGCCTTGGGGGTCCTATGGGATTCTGGGGATCGAACCTAGGTTGGTAGCGTGCAAGGCCAATGCCCTCCTCGCTGGACTATGGCTCCGGGCCCGTTTTGCTTACGTTCCCACTACAGATAAATGACACTCAAGTGTTTTCTTCTTTCCTGGGCGCACATTTGCTGCGCTTGTTGTGTAAGCCCCAAGCTGTTTGGCCCGGGGACTAGCCCAACCTTGGGGCTTCATTAGGTGGACAGTCTTTGCACTTAGCAACTCGGGCAACAGAGAGCACCTCCTTTGTCCCCCTCCCATTGCCGTGGGGACCTGCCTCCCAGTGCCTCGTGACCCACCCAACTCCCCTTACTCTATTCCAGAAGTCTCTGGGGTGGCGTCTTCCGCTGGAGGCAAGAAGCTGGTGAGCACTGATCCTAAGTGTGAAGCATGTGCCATCCTAGCATGCCATGTGTGACCTGTCACACACGTGTGATGGCTCAAACCCTGAACACAGCAGTCTTGAATCAGTCGAGTCCGCTTGTGCTAAGCGCTCTCTGGAGCCCCCCTGAGCTGCCACCTGCCCCCCTCCTTTCCTGCCTGATTGCTGTGCTTTAATGGCCATTTTCCTTTCCTTTCTCTCTTTGCTCTGAGCACCTGGAGTGCTGCCAAGTCCCCCTGCAGCGCGCTCTCCCCGAGGCTGAGGCAGCCCTCCCCTCTTGGCTTCTGAAAGCGCATCCCATCTCCGCTCCAGTCTGGCTTGGCCTTGTCCTCCCAGCCGTGTCCTCCTCCTCAGAACTGCGGTGTACCCTGTCTTTGAAGCAGCCAGGTCTTGGGAGACAAGACAGAACATCCTGTGCCTCCGTTCTGGCTTCTGGAAAATGGGCATGGTGAGGACGAATGTTAATACTTCCACCAGCTGCCCAGACAACCCCTCCCCCAGGCCCCCTCTCATCTGCTATCCTTTGTCCTCAATCTGGGCTGTTCTAGCCTGTGTGTGTTACCCTGGCTATAGTCAACCCGGGTTCCATCCCCACAATCCTACATGGTTCCCTGAGCCCGCAGGAGTGCTCCCTGAGCA